CCCCGCACCTGCCTGCCCACCAGAAACCCAACCCTGTCTCTTTGCCCACAAAACTTTCTTATATAAACCTCTGCTTCTGCCATAATAAACGAGCTGTCCATTGACACAGTCTCCTGGGGGTGTTTTCTCCTGTCTATTCTGCTGCCTGAAGCCTCCCTTCCCCCACCGGTCTCTCTCCTTGCCCTGCCCTTCTGCTATGGGGACCGGTGTGCATGGTCTCCCGGTGGCAGCCGAGTTCAGGCAGAGGGGAGACCAGCAGCTGGCGCCAATGTGGGGCTAGAGAGGGGCTTTCTGGGATGCACAGGAGGAGGGTGAGTACTCCCCAACAGTGGGACATCGGCTACCACCTTCAGTGGGACATCGGCTACCACCATACTTTGAGGCCTACACTAATCCGGTCAGAGGGACTTAAAGGGACAATTTTTTGTTTCTTGCCCTCCAAGGTCAACTAAGTTCCAGGGGACTATGGAGCATCTCTCAACATGTCCTTTAACTGGTGAGTCACCTGTCCTATTGTTCAGGGAGGCTATGGAGACCCCAAAAGATAGACTTAAATCAGCCAATGTCCAGTCTACAAAGAGGAGGGTCAACACAGAGGAAACATTTCCTCCATGCTTCCAAGTGAAGCCCAGGTTAAGCAAGACCTCTTGGCTTATCTTCAGATACATGGAACTGGTAAAAAGAAAAGCCTGAGGAGCCAGGGACTTTCCCCCAAGCCCATGAGACCCCTGAAGACCAGATCCTCAAACAACCTTAAGAGTAAAAATAAATTGGGCCAACGGTATGGTCTTAAACACCCAAAAGGAAAGTATAACCAAAGATTAAAGTCATCAGGATATTTCATTAAGAGTTCAAGGGATTACATGTCTCAGGCATTAGACTTAAGTTCTTATAAGATGTTATTTAGACAATTATCTCTCATTGATGATTTTGTTCCTAATAATACAATGCTACTCAGATGTAAGACTTTAAATCTTGGTCTACAATACTGTAGTGCCCACCTGCAGCTGAGGGAGGCAACCCACTACTGTTCTAAAATGATGGATAAATTTGTTTTCTCTCCCTATCTAAAGGCCATTTAAGAGGCAACTGATTCTAGCCACTTCAACGGTTATCAAAGTGCCTGACAACAAATCCTGAGTTAATCAATCATCAGTCCAGCATTGACAGGCAAAAGAAAATTGAGGAGGAACCCAGCAGATGGATGCTTTTGGAAGCCCTCATCAAGAAATTCCAACGGACTTTAATTTGGACATTTGAAATTTTCTCTGTACTGACTTTCTGGTTCCCTGCCTAGAAATTGTAACACTAACTAGCCTTGCCTTTACTTCTCCTTCACATCTCCGTGACACAAGTCAGGGACCTTCTTTTCTCCCTATAGTTAAAAGTTATGCAATTTGGGAGTCTTTTAGATAGACCCACTGAAAGGGGTACCCCACTTGCCTCGCCCTGTGTCCCTGTTCAGCATGGAAGAAGCCAGAGAGGTCTGCATTCCAATTCCCTATCAGCAATTTGGGTAAATCTCTTCAGAGGATGGTGTGAAAAAAATAGGAGGTAGAAATTGGCTAGGCAGTTAGGATATAAAGACCCCCCCCCCGAAAAAAAAGTAATAGCCAGTTTCTTTCTTGGCAAAAAGTCAAAATGTCCTTGGGCCTTTTAGCAAAGCACTCTGTCCCAAAGGCCAAAAATGTTAAAAGTATTTGGGAGCTCTTATCCCTAAAAGATTTTAGGGTTACCTCTTCAGAGGGGGGAATGTTACAATATCAGTAAGCCCCATAAATTGAACTGGTCCAGACTATAAAAATTGTCTAGTCTATCTGTTGGAGGACCTACTTTTCCAGTCTCACTGGTCAATTCTCAGATCCCTACAAAACTTCCAGACCAGGCACAGCCATATAGGTCTCTGTAAGTCTATACGCTTTCCTGAACTCTTTGGGAATGTGTAATTTCTCCTTTTCTTCTTCATGCCTTTCTTACTAAACATGCTTTCTCTAAGGCTTTGGACTGCCCCTAGCACCTTGTATTTCTTCACCTTTTCTCTAAAGCTTCCTTCTCCCAGCCATATGGCTGTGAGTCAGCCACATGTCTGACCTCCATGTAGGCTCTAAATCTGAATGGCTTCCATAATTTTCTTTCCTTCTTCCCACTATTCACCTCCTCAAGGCAGCTATCAAAATTACCAGCTCATCTACCCGGAGGATTTTTCTTTCCATGGTTTTCCAACCCCCTCCTTGCTTGATTTCTACCCTTTGTTGGGTCCCCTGCTAGCGTTATGTTCCCTGCTTCTCATGGCACCCTGTCTAATTCAATTTTTTAAAATACTTTATTATTTTTATTTTAGGTGTACAAGTGTATTGCCTGCATGTAGGTAAGTGCACCCGTGTCGTGCAATGCCCACAGAGGACAGAAGAGGCTGTCAGATCCCCTGGAACTGGAGTTACAGACAGTTGTTAGCTGCCATGTGGGTGCTGGGATTCGAACCTGGGTCTTCTGCAAGATCAGTCAGTGTTCTTAACCTCTGAGCCATCTCTCCAGCCCCCTAATTCAATTTTTCAAAAGTCATATACAGGACATCATTAAAATCACCACCAACCGAGTCCTGGTCCAATACCAAACTATCCCTAATACCTTCTCCAAATTTGATGACACCCATCCCTTATAAAAGACCAAGGGGGAGATGTTGGGACAGTCAGGAGTGCCTGGAATGTAGAGCATGGCCACCAGGCTGGAGACCTCCTAGTGAGGATGGCAGGAAACTGCCCACTCCATTCTAGATACACTGTCTCTTTCCCAGCAACCCCCAGGCAAAACTATTAGGCCTCTAATCCTCTAATCCTAACTGGGTCTCTTGTAGTCATGTGACTGGAGGACAGAACAAAGGCCACATAGCCTTAGATGCTCCCTCCCTCTCCCACCTGCCTGCCCTCCAGAAACCCAACCCTGCATCTTTGCCTGCAAAACTTTCTTATATTAAACCTCTGCTTCTGCCATAATAAACAAGCTGTCCACTGACACAGTCTCCTGGGGGTGTTTTCTCCCATCATACTCGCTGCAGCCTGAGGCCTTCCTCCCCCCACTGGTCTCTCTCCTCACCCCAACCTTCTGCTATGGGGACAGGTGCACAACGATCTCCTGGTAGCAGCGGAATTCCGGCAGAGGGGAGGCCGACAAAACAGAAAGAAAAAAATCTTAAAACTCATTGTTTCTAGTTCATTGTAGAAGTCAGAGGAGGTGGATGACTAAAAGGAAACAGAGTTTTCCAGACAGCTGGTCAGTTACCCACATGAACTCACAGCAATGGTGACAGCATGCACAAGTCCCACATAAGCTCAAGCCATACAAAATCCCTCATAGATGTGGAGAAGTAGGTAAGAAACCTCACCCTATCTGAGGAACTATTGGAAATTGATGGCTGTTTAGATGGGGAGAGTCAGAGACAGTAGGTTTAACTAGACGCCAATGGATAAACTTACACTGAAGGGGATTTGGAGACACAAAGCTGACTCTATAGGCATTAAGGCCTAATA